GCCGCGAGCCGGGCTTTCGCGGGGGGCGACCACGCGCGTGCCTCCAGAACGGGCCTTTGACTTCCGAACGCCCTTGACTTTCGTGCTCCCGCTGCCTCTGGACTAGGGGAGGATCTCCCACTCCCCGTTTCCCATGTTTGCACCTGCTGAGCGGCCGGCTCTGAGTTTGTGTCAGCCCCTCCACCTCGCTCCGGTGGTTACGACCCCCAACCCACCCTGAGACCCTGTCCCTCCCAGTCGCTCCGCCTCAGGACCTTCAAGCGTTGTGTCCCGGAGAAGCTTCTACTACCTGCTTGGCCAATGGCCCCACCTGTTCCCCATATTTATAAAAGCAGGTTAATATTACTTGTGACAGTTTCTGCAAAGATTCAGTGAGTGAATGGATGTGATAGTGCTCGGTGCACAGGGATAAAACAGTAACTACTATTATTGTGTATATTCATGTTGCAGTGTTTATATTCTTGTACTCGAGTGTGGGACAAATGAAAAATAGCAGAAACCAGGGGTAGGAGACTGGTCCCCGCTGACAGGTAGTTGAAAGGCAGGGTGCCACCTTCTTAAATGAGCTGTAACTTTTTCTTAGTACTATGCTGGTCTGTGAGGTCTGGCGGCTGGGCCGCGTGTCCCTGGGAGCTCGTGAGGGGGGCAGGCTCTTGAACCCACCTGAGGGAGGGATGGAATCTTTCAAAGCAAGATTAGCCTAGGAGTCGCAGCCTTGAGTTCAACCAGGGCTTGAACTTGTGTACAGCGTTTCTGCCTGGATACCTCTCTGCATCTGCTGGTGATTGTGAGAGTAACAGTTGCCGGGTATGACTGGGGGTGGTTGTCGCAGTTGCCTGCCCTTGTATGGTGCCCCTAGGGAACTAGTCCCCAAATGTCTCAGACCCCTTATCGGCCTCCCCCTTCCCCAGCGCAGAGATGCTTCTCCACTTGTGATCATGTTATGATATGCATTCTGTCAGCTGCTGTTTGCTTCAGAAGGTTTTCTTCATTCCTGCTCATTCTTTTCTCTTCCTGAAGATGTATTTTACCTTCTGCTTATAAAAAACCTTCCTGTGGCTTTGATTTCAAACACTCCTGTTTGTGTTTGCTTTATACACATTATGCTTCTCCCTATAACTGTTGAAGTTCATAAGTGGCCAATCAGCCAGTGATGTTTTTTTCTTTCTTTTTTTTTTTTTTTTGACAAGCTTTCCATAGTTAATTAGGGCAAAAAGTTCAAGTGCTACAGGAAAATGGGTAAGACTATTATTTCCACCTTTTTTTTTCCTATCTGGGGTAAAGGGGAAATAAAGGGAGAAGCCCCACCCAGTCTCCCACCCATCCCAGGTCCCTGATGTGGGGCATGCTCTGAGGGTCTTGCTTGAGTGGTTTTGATAATTGAACAGTTATGAATTGCTGCCAGTTTCACCATAGCAAGCACAATGAGGTCACTGAAGAATCCTTTGATTGACATAGTCCATATTAGAGTCTCCTTTTGCCCTGTTTTTCACTGCCAACATATGACTGGGGTAGTTGATTGATCTGTCCTCTGTCTTTTCATGGTTAGGGGTTCTGAGTCTGGCAGTTCGATTGGGGGGATCCCTAAAGAAACTTTGTATGTGGTATTCTCAGATCAGATTCTTGTATGTACTTGCAATCAGCTGGTGGTTGCAATTGCTGGGTTGGTTCTGTTTCCAGTCCTGTCTTCCACTGGAACCAATGGGTGTTGCAGTCCAGCCTGATTCTGCCCAGCACACACAGCCTAGTTGGAGCGACCCACAATAACCCTCACCAGACCCTCCCCCTACCCTGGTTCCCGTGCTTGCCATTATGTACAGCAGACTAGTCCAGTCTGTTCCACATCCCGTTGAGCTCTCATACATGTCAATGTGCATTGAAGCCTAGTTCAACCTAACCAGCTCCACTATCCAGCCCACACGTGCTGTTGGGTGCCCTTCTGTCTAGCTGTCCCAGCCTTTGTCCCAGTTTTCAGACCCTCCAGTGGGAGTGGTAACCCAAGAGGGAGGTGCCCACTATTTCCCTTCCAGGTCTCTCCCACTCCCCCAATTATGCACTCTCCAGGTGGTTCTGGAGTTTAACTTGACAGAATTAGCCCCCAGTGCCAGCTTTTGCCAGCTGATGCTGCGGCAAAGCCCAGCCAACCTTCATCTAAGTTTTGTTTGCACCAGTAGAAATAATCAGCTCCGCCTGGCTTTTCCCTGATGCAACTCACATGATGTCCACATGTGTTGTAGCCCTGCCTAGTCTGGTCTGTCCCCATCCCAGCTCACGCTCTCCAGTGGGAGTAGCTGTCCAGCAAGGGAATCCCCCTATATGCCTGTCAGTTTCGCCCCCTCCCTCCCTAGTTCTCACGTGTGCTGGTTGGGCACTGCGGCCATATCCGGTACAGTTCACCTCACCTTGGCATTCTGTAATATGCACTGGTTTTTGTCGCAACTGAACCTGGCTCGACCCACACTCTTCTGATGCTCGAATTCGCCAGTGGGTGATTTGAACTGGTTCAGCCTGGTTTGTCCCCGATCCCTGCCAATTGTATGCTAGTGGGAAACTTTCCATGGCCTGTTCTGGGCTATTTCCTTTCATGCTTCTTGTGCTTACCTGCAGGGTCTGTGTCCTGCCAGAGGAGTTGCCCAGGCTCCTCCATCAGAACCCCTCCAAATGCCAGATTTCGTGCATACCAGTGAGTCCATGGGCCAGCCCTACTCAGGTCACCTCCTGTCCTAGCAGGAACAATGGCCTTTCCTGACTGGCCTTCAACCCAATCTGGTTCTTGCTGTTGGATGTTTCAGCTCAGCCTTGGTTTGTCCATACCCACATACAGCTTACACGTGGTTCAGTAGGGGCTGAGACCTAGCTTAGTCTGTCCCACATCTACCCTGGTCCTCCAGAGCACCAGATGATGCGGGAGTCTAGCTTGGCTCGGTGCATCCAGTCCCATTCCACACTTGTGCCATGGGAGGCTACAACTGTATTCTGATCAGAATGCAGCCCCCATTCCAGCCCTGTGCTCCTTGGTGGGAACCTCAGCCCAGCTGGGGTGTCCCCTTAGCTCCCCAACCGGGCCTGTTCCCAGCCATTGATCGTGCACATGCCAGTGGTTCCTCTGACTCAGCTTGGCACAGCCCCTTGCCTGTCCTGGCCCCTGCCTTAGATGCTGTGGCTTAGCGTCCCTGGCTTACGCAGATAAGTAGTTGTAAGACGGTGATTTTTTTTTTAACCAGTGACTTTTTAAATTTTTTTTTTTAATTTAAAGATTTATTTTTATTATTTTTTCATTGGAAAGGCGGATATACAGAGAGGAGAGACAGAGAGGAAGATCTTCCGTCCGATGATTCACTCCCCAAGTGAGCGCAACGGGCTGATACTATGCCGATCCGAAACCAGGAGCCTCTTCCAGGTCTCCCATGCGGATGCAGGTTCCCAAAGCTTTTGGGCCGTCCTCTGCTGCTTTCCCAGGCCACAGGCAGGGAGCTGGAAGGGAAGCGGGGCTGCCGGGATTAGAACCGGCGCCCATATGGGATCCCGGGCGTGCAAGGCGAGGACCTTTAACCACTTGCGCCACCGCGCCGGGCCCTAAATTTTTTTTTTTAAGATTTATTTATTTTTATTGCAAAGTCAGGCATACAGAAGGAGGAGAGACAGAGAGAAAGATCCTCCATCTGATGATTCACTCCCCAAGCGACTGCAGCGGCCAGTACTTGTGTCAATCTGAAGCCAGGAGCCAGGAGCTTGGGTCTCCAAGCGGGTGCAGGGTCCCAAGGCCCTGGGCCATCCTCAACTGCTGTCCCAGGCCACAAGCAGGGAGCTGGATGGGAAGTGGGGCCACTGGGACTAGAACTGGAGACCCCATGGATCCCGGCATGTTCAAGGCGAGAACCCTAGCTGCTAGGCCAATGCGCCGGGCCCAACCAGTGACTTTTTATCCTTCAGCTTCCCTGATGCATTTAAGAGGATGGATGATCACCTCTCCCTTGAAACTCAGCACCTTCTTGGTTTTCACACATTGGGCTATTTGGCAGGCTTTATGTTTTTTTCAGATTGGCTTTCTCTCTGTTCTTTTGTATTTGGTTCTTCCCAAGCATTATTCCTTAGTTAAGTCCTGTGTTTCCAATAAAACATAAATTCATAGTAATCCAGAGTTTTGCAACAATTTTAGTATTTTGGTTTTACTCTTTAAAACAAAAATATCTGTTTTTATTGGAAAGGCAAAGAAGCAGATAGAAGGAAAGACAAAAAGATCCATTTTTTGGTTCACTCCTAAAGTGGCTGTAATGACCAGAGCCAAGCCAGTCTGAAGCTAGGAGCCAGGAACCTCCTCTGGATCTCCCATGTGGGTGCAAGGTCTCAAGGCCTTGGACCATCTTGCATTGCCTTCCCAGGTCACAAGTAGGGACCTAGATGGAAAGTGGAGCAGCTGGGATATCCCATATGGGATCCTGGCACATGCAAGGTGAGGATTTAGCCACCAGGCTATTGTTCTGGGCCCAAGTTTACACTTTCTTAAAAAATGTATTTCTTTTTCATTGGAAAGGCAGACTTACAAAGAGAAGGAGAAACAGAAAGATCTTCCATCCCCCGATTCAGTCTCCAAGTGGCCGCAATGGTCGAGCTGAGCCAATCTGAAGCCAGGAACCCCTTCTGGGTCTCCCATGCAGGTGCAGGGTCCCAAGGTTTTGGGCCATCCTTGACTGCTTTCCCAGGCCACAAGCAGGGAGCTGGATGGGAAGTGGAGTAGCTGGGACATGTATCAGTGTCCATGCAGGATCCTAGCATGTGCAACATGAGGATTCAGCCACTGTGCCAGGTCCTTATGCTTTTTAAAAAAATTTTGTTGTTTTATTTTACCTGGAAAGTTGGTTACAGAAAGAGACAGGAGACAGTGTCTTCCATTCCCTGGTTCACTCCCCAAATGGCTGCAGTAGCCAGAGCTGGGCTGGCTTGAAGCTGGGAGTTGGGTGTTTCTTCCAGGTCTCCCATGTGGGCCATCCTCCACTGCTTTCCCAGACCCTAAGCAAGGGGCTGGAGGGGAAGTGGAGAAGCCAGGACTAGAATCAGTGTGCTGATCACTGGGGTGGAGACTGCATCTGGTACAGTAGCTCTCATCACATCTGGGTGGAGATGAAGTTGTAAGCCTTGACCATAGTGATGGCATCACAGCATCTCTCCTCGTGCCCACATCCTACCACTTCTGTCTTTGAGATCACCTTTGCTGAAGTATGTATTCTGCTCTCTGCCTGTCTCCCCTACCTTGCACTCTGATGTTTGTATCTAAAATTCCATCTCCCAGGCCATTCTGCTATTGCTTCCCTAAGTGTTTTTTCATTCTTTCCATCTCTCCTTTTGAGTCCCTGTTAGGATTTTGATCATCTGCTCCTGCTGTGTAATGAGCATTTATTCACTGCTTGACTTTCACGTGCCAACCACTGGGCTGCCTGTTGGGCTCAGGACATGGTGAGGTCAGTGGGAAGGGGCATTCAGGTCTGTATGGGACATTACCTTGCCCTGGAGAAGTTCGCCTTACAGTGCCGGTGTTTCCTTTCTTGAGCACACATTGGAATCACCTGGGGAGCATTAAAAATCCCATCACCTGCTTCACAGCCTACTGAAGGTGGATTCTGTTGCTCTGGGGATGTCGTTAGACCATTTGGAGTGTTCTGAACTGCTCTAATGTGATTCAGGGTTGAGAGTCACTGTGATAATGGAACAGACAGACTATAGGTGGCTGCCTGCATGGTGTCTTAGGCCAGGAAACTAAGGCACGTGGAGCTGTCAGGAGCTGTTTTTACTTCACAATTGGATTACCAGCTTACGGGCTCAGACCTTTCTCATCTTGAGATTTCCCTACCCTCTCTGTAGTTTAAGGTAGGCTGTCCAGCAGAATGAGTTAATGGAAATGTTTTCTATCAACACTGGTGTTGTAGAGCATCAGAATATGCTGTTGCCTGTGACACTGACACTCCCTGTGGGTACCAAAGCACTTGGGCCATCCTCTGATGCTTTCCTAGGCTATTAGCTAGGAGCTGGATCAGAAGTGGGTCAGCTGGAACTGGAGTTGGCACCCATATGAGATACCAGCGTCACAGGTGGAGGATTAGTTTGCTGTGCCACCCTGCTGGACCTGTATATTTGTTTTTATATTTAGATAATTTAAAAATTTATTTTAAAAGCATTTATTTCTTCAAAAGGCACTTTGACAGAGAGGGAGAGCCCTAGAGATATACCTTCCTTCCACTGGTTCACTCCCTGAATGGCCACAGTAGCCGGGCCTGACCAGAAATCCCGTCAGATTCTTTCACATGGGTGGCAGGGATCCAAGTGCGTGGAGCATCACTACAATAGCAACTTCCCCTAATTTATTTTGCTGTTGTTTGAGAAGTTGGGGGTAGAGAAGGTAGGGAGATAGAATTCCATCCATTGGCTCATTCCCCAATTGCCTGCAATAGATGGGGCTGGGTCAGGCTGATGCCCTGAGCCGGGATCTCAGGCTGGGACTGCACAGGGGGTGGCAGTGACCCAGTGCTTGAGCCATCACCCGCCACTGTGCAGAGTGGATGTTAGGCAGAAGGTGGATTGTGGAACAGAATGAGAGTCAGACCTGAATACTCCACAAGGAATGTGGGTGTCCCAAGTGACACTTTAAAAATATATATTTGTTGGGGCCCGGCGCGGTGGCACAGTGGTTAAGGTCCTCGCCTTGCACGCCTGGGATCCCATATGGGCGCCGGTTCTATCCCGGCAGCCCCGCTTCCCCTCCAGCTCCCTGCTTGTGGCCCGGGAAAACAGTCGAGGACGGCCCAAAGCTTTGGGACCCTGCACCTACACAGAAGACTCAGAAGAGGCTCCTGGCTTCAGATTGGCATAGCATCGGCCGTTGCGCTCACTTAGGGAGTGAATCATCGGATGGAATATCTTCCTCTCTGTCTCTCCTCTCTGTATATCTGCCTTTCCAATAAAAAACTAATAAAAATAAATCTTTAAATATATATATATTTATTTATTTATTTGGAAAGGCAAATTTATATAGAGGAGAGATAAATATCTTCCAACCACTGGTTCATTCCTAAGTGGCCACAACAGCCAGAGCTGAGCTGATCTGAAGCCAGGAGCTTCTTCTGAGTCTCCCAAGTGGTGCAGAGTACCAAGGCTTTGGACTTTCCTCTATGGCTTTCCCAGAACACAAGCAGGGAGCTCATGGGAAGTGGAGCAGCCAGGACATGAACCGATGCCCATATGGGATCCTGGCAGATGCAAGGAAAGGATTTAACCACCAGGCTGCTCCAAGTGGCATCTTAATTGTTATGTCAAATACCTGCCTTCTTTTCACGGTTTTTATTTTATAAATTTTTCACAGTTGCTATTCAGAAGGAGTTCACACTAGAAGGAAGTAATATTTAGTATAAAACAATTTGATTAAACAGTGCTTATTTTCATGGCAACATTCATGGTTAATTTCATGGCAACATTGTTTTAGCCTTCTGCAGGATGCTGTGTTCCTTCCTCCTTTGTCTCTTGCTGGTACCTGGTTATGCTCATGATGACGAGTGGATTGACCCCACGGACATGCTTAACTATGATGCAGCTTCAGGAACAATGAGAAAATCTCAGGTAACTGAAGAATGTGTGTGTGCAAGCTTGTCAGGGATGCTGTACATAGAATCCACGAGTCATGTGTCAGTTCACAGTCATGTAGAGTACCTTCGTCACACTGAGGTGCAGGTTTTGGGGAGACAGAGTGACAGACAAGAGAAATCCTCCTTCCTGCGGTCCGCTCCCTGAATGGCTATAGCAGCCAGAGCTGGACAAGGCAGGAGCCAGGAGCTTCTTCCAGGTTCCTCTCCCACGTGGTGATAGGGACCCAAATACAGGGGCCGTCTTCTACTATCTTCCTGGGAGAAACATCTTCCACATGTTTAATCTACTGTTATTTAAAATCCAGTCTGAATTTGAGTGTAAATTGAATTAAGCAGCAAACTAATTTTATTTTTAGTTCTTACTACCTACATTTTTGACCTTTTTTTGGTTGGTTTAATACAAGTAAAAAGTGTATTGAACAGTCATAAAATGATGGGTGAAAACTTTAGTCTTTATTAGACACGAAGATTATTTTTAAAATTGAACTCTAAAGAAATGAACTTTCTCTACCTTGTTTTAGATGCAGTACGGCAGGTCAAAGAGTGATGTCAGTCCTGACTTGTCCCAAGCTGATGAAATGGCCGAATGTTATCGCAAACTTGATTCCTTAACTCATAAGGTTCGATTGTTTTCTATTCATAGCTGTTATATTATTTACATTGTATTAAATTTCTTTTTTATGTTCAATGTTTTTCTTGTGTTTCTGCATATAATACAATTTACATATTTACAGTTCTTTTTACTAGCTATAGCCTTGGGTTTTCTAATAGTATTTTGTGTTTTCCTGTAATAATATTTCTTCCCTTGTGTCGTAATTATTTCCTTACTGCATGTGTACTTGGTGGTTCAAGGGTACCTTGTTGATCTTGATCATCCCCTGTCATAGTGCAACAAAGGCAACAAAAGAAGAAAGGGGACCTGTTATGTGCCTATCAGCTTTAGTGTTACTCTGAACAGATAGAAACACTTTATCTAACTTAGTGGGTTTTGGCTATCCATTCTTTTATGTACTTACTTTTTAAAAAAAATGTAGTCAGGGGGAGGTTTTTTTTTTTTTAGATTTTATTTATTTATTCTTATTGGAAAGTCATATTTACAGAGGAGAGACAGGGAGAAAGATAGTCCATCCACTGGTTCACTCCCCAAGTGGCTTCAACAGCTAGAGCTGAGCCGATCTGAAGCTGGAGCTTCTTCTGGGTCTCCCCAACAGGTGCAGGGTCCCAAGGCTTTGGACCATCCTCAGCTGCTTTTCCGGGCCACAAGTAGTTAGCTGGATGGGAAGTGGAGCTTCTGGGAACACTGACAGGGGCCCATATAGGATCCTGATGCGTGCAAGGTGAGGACTTTAGCCACTGGGCTACTGTGCTGGTCCCAAAGGTGAGTTTTATGCAGAAGGAAGTCAGTGAAGATTGTTACAGGGTGTAAGCATTTTCCTGTTTGCCATGGGCATTGCCCTCTGTTAGCTGTGGGGCATGGTAGACCTGTGGCACAGTGAGGGGCGCCTGGAGCTAGAAGGGATGTGGTGGTAATGAGCTCACTGGGGCTTGCAGGGCCAGCCGTGCAGAAGGTGCCAAGTGAGGCAGTGATGGAGTCCCAGGGGGTAGAATAGGCTGATGCTGACAGTTCAGGGAAGGGGGCTCAGGGTGGAGGAACTCGGAGGAGCGGGAGTGGCTTCCAGCTTGAGACACTGGGAATGTGTATTGAGAACAGATCTATCCCAATGAGCATCTGTAAGGATCTTTTGGTGGTTCTTACCAAATTTAAATAGTGTCTGACCTGAGTCCTAGCAAAGGCATGCCTGGGTAAAATTTGTTTTAACTTTTGTGGTGAGCTAGTTAGGTTGCACAGGAAGAAATGCAGAGTTTTCAAAATTTTGTTTATGACTTTAATTCAGTGTTGTAAAAACATGATTGGTAAAGTGAAATTTTGAGTTCCTTTAAGGAAAAAAAAAAAAGATTTATTTGAGACACAGAGTGATAAAGCGCAGGAGAGAGATCTTCCTTGTGCAGCTTCACTCCCCCATATGCCTCTAACTGGGCCAGGCTGAAACTCGGAGACAACAACTCGTCTGGGTCTCCCACATGAGTGGTACTAACCCAAGTATGTGGGCCATCATTTGCTGTTCCCAGGCATAGGAGCAGAAAGCTGGATCAGAAGAGGAGGTGCTGGGATCTGAACCAGGCACTCTAATATGGAATGTGGGTGTCTAAGTTGTGGCTCAACCAGTAGCACCACAGTGCTGGCTCCAAGTTTTTATTTAAAAAAAAAAAAAGTAATTAAAAAGTAAGAGGTTATAAACCATGCCTGAAAGCAGAAGAAGCTGCCATATCACTTCTGTAGTGTCCTCTTGTCCTAAGTTTATGTGTGCTGTTATTGTTGTGTTTATCAAAGCCCATGTCAGTGTTCATAGTCCATACTCAATTTAAAAAAAAAATGTAAGGGTGGGGTGTTCCCCCAATCATGGTAGTGTTGTGACATTGCTAGTTAAGCATCTACCTGCAATACTGACAGCCCATATTGCTGCCAGTTTGAGTTCTGGCTGATCCACTTCTGATCCAGCTCTCTGCTGACGCACCCGAGAAAGCAGCAGAGGATGGCCCTTATGCTGGGGCTCCTGCACTCATGTGGAAGATCCAGAAACAACAGCTCCAGCTTGGCCCAGCTCTGGCTGTTGTGGCTATTTGGATAGTGAGCCAGTAGATGGGAAGATCCCTTCTTTCTCTCTCTCCTCCTCCTCTCCTCTCTGTAACTCTGCCTTTCAAATAAGTATTAAAACACTAAAATATAAGTTGACAGTTAGAAAGTCACTTTCAAGTCTGTGTGATACCCACTTCCCTCCCTTGATATCCACACCACTGCAGTGGTAGTAATACTGGGTCCAGGGTCTCAGTGAAAAGCCAGGACCTGAAGGGTTCCTGTGTGTAGGATATTCTGGAGAAGGCATGGTCCCTGCCTGCGTGAGTCTCCTGTGTAGTGAAGGATAATCCATTGGTGCGGGAAAAAATGAGTAAAAAGTTCCAAAGTAATATGCACATTCAAGAAATTCTGGATTGTGTCCTTCATTTCCTCATTTGGCCTCCTTCTGCTTTGATCCAATCATATGTGAGTCCAGTCCGTGTATATTTGTGCTTCTCTTTCCTCGTTCCTTTGTTCCTGTTAAGCTGTTGCTTTGGGTTGAAAAAAGTGCTCCAGTGGCTCTGTCTGTGGATCTCAGCTTTCCTGTTTTATGATCTTGACACATACGTGATCTGAAGCTTCAGCTTTGCTGCAGGTCAGCAGGGAAACTGCTGGCTTGGGGCTAAGCTGATAAGTATTTCCGCCTATGGAAGAAGAACCCCCAGAAAGCAGGCAAACTCCACTCTGTGGAGTAGCTGGAAAAGGCAAGCTTCGTCAGAACTGCTACCTCAAGTTGGATGCCACTTCTAGACTGGAAATTTGATACTTGCATTAAATTTTGGTGCTAACTAATGTTGAACTCATTGTGTGATTACAGATTGATGACTGTGAAAAGAAGAAGAGAGAAGAGTATGAAAGTCAGAGCAACCCTGTTTTTAGGAGATACTTAAATAAGGTTTTAATTGAAGCCGGAAAGCTTGGACTTGTGAGTATTTGGTGGCATGATGCTAGTCTGCAGAGTGGATATTTTCAGCAGTTCTCCATTTCAAATCAGGTGAAGTGACACAGCATTATGCTTTAGCAGACCACCTGCCTCACCTTTTTACCAAAAGCTGTTTAGGCTTTTGCGCTGGTTTGGTGGAAGACAAACTGGTGAGGGGATTTGCCTACCCAGCTGTGTACACTGTTGTACCACTTAATGAGGGGAGGGAGGGATGATGATTCTATCCTGACCGAACTTCCTGTCTTCTGTTCTATGCATTCTCTGTCACAATATCTAGCATCGTTATACAGAAGGAAAATGAACAGGTGTTTTAAACAGCATTTTTTCCGGGCTGTTGACTGTGGCAAGAGCTGCTGTGAAGAATTAATATAATATTTTGCATGTACTGTTCATTATCTTACATTTCCCTTGTTCAGAGTGATTTTTCACTTTGGGAGAATCAAAATGTCAAGAATGTAACTTTTTGAAGCTAATTTGAAAGGAAGCAGAATTTTTGCTTTGGTGTTTGCCATCAGGATTGATCTAGAGAGTTGGGTTAGTCACTGACACCAGAAGTGGTGTCAGGCAGGTCCCTCAGGGGGAGACCCTCATGGCAGCCAGGGGAAGGCTGGCTGAACCTGCCGGGGGAGTGATGCAGAAAGCAGGTGTTCCCATCTGCATGCCTCTAACTTGAGTCTCGGAGATGGCTGTATGCTGGAACCAAACCTAGATGAGGAAGGAGCCAACACATCCTTAGGATGGAGAGAATTAGAAATACTTAGTTTGTAACTTTCTAAAAACTGTCAGTATTAATCAATGATAATTTGTTAATGGTTTCTAGTGTGAAATTGCATTGTTTTTAAATTTTGTGTGTATTTTTTACCTGAATTTATTCTTGCATAAGAAAAATAATAGAGTTTAAAATGTCTTAATTCGTGGAAATCTATTTTGCTTTTGAGATGTTTTTCATTTAAAAAAAAAAGATTTATTTATTTATTTATTATTGGAAAGTTGGAGAGACAGAGGAAGATCTTCCATCCCATGATTCACTCCCCAAACAGCTGCAATGGCTGGTGCCAAACCAATCCGAAGCTAGCAGCCAGGAGCTTCTTCCGGGTCTCCTGCACAGGTGCAGGTTCCCAAGGCTTTGGGCCGTCCTTGACTGCTTTCCCAGGCCACAAGCAGGGAGCAAGATGGGAAGCAGGGCTGCTGGGATTAGAACCGGTGCCCATATGGGATCCTGGTGTGTGCAAGGAGACGACCTTATTAGTCATCACTAGGCTACTGCACTAGGTCCGAGATGTTGCTTTTCTTGTGTGAATAACTACAAATTTTAAACAAGAACAACTTAGTAAAAGAGTATTTGAAAGGTAAACTTACAGAGAGGCAGAAACAGCTCTTCCTTCTGTTGGTTCACTTCTCAAGTGGCTGCAGCAGCTGAGGCTGACCAGACTGAAGGCACAAGCCAGAAGTGTCATCCATGTCTCACTCGTGGGTGACTGGAGCCCAATGACTTGAGACATATTATGGTGCTCTTACCAGGCTATTAGCAGGAAGCTGGCTTGAAAATGCAACATCTGGGACTAGAACCTGGGCTCATGGAATACTGGAGGCAGCACTGGTCCCTAAACAAAAATATTTTTAAAAATTGTACTTATTGGGCCTGGCAGAATAGTCTGGTGGCTAAATTCTCACCTTGCACGCACCAGGATCCCATATGGGCACCAGTTCATGTCCTGGCTGCTCTGCTTCCCATCTAGCTCCCTACTTGTGCCCTGGGAAGGCAGTAGAGGGTGGCCCAAAGTCTTGGGGTCCTATACCACATGGGAAACCCAGAAGAAACTCCTGGCTCCTGGCTTCAGATCGGCTCAGCTCTAGCTGTTGTGGCCACTTAGGAGTGAACCAGCAGATGCAAGATCTGTCTTTCTGACTCTTTCCTTCTCTTCTATAAATCTGCCTTTCAATAAAAATCAATAAATCTTTTTTAAAAAAAGAAAGCATTTACTTATTTGAAAGGCAGAATGAAAGAGGGAGAGGCAGAAGGAGAGAAATCTTCGGTGTATTGGTTAATTCACCCAATGCCCACAGCAGCCAGAGCTAGGCTAGCCAAAGCCTGGAGTGAGGAACTCCAGGTCTCCCATGTGGGTAGCAGAAATCCAAATTCTTGGGCCATCATCCATTGCCTCCTAGATACATTTGCAAAAAGCCCAGTTGGAAGTGTGGAGTAGCCATGACAAATCAGACACTCCGATACGAATTTCAGACATGCCAAGTCACAGGGTAGTCTGTACCACATCTGCGCTTTAAACAAATTTTAGGCTGTCTGAGAACTGTGGGCAAATGGAAAGTCATAAGTTCAACCAGAAATTGAAAATATAAACATACAGTCCATCTTGATTATTCACAGTCCATATTAAAGGACTTGCGTGCTCAATTATCCTCTGCTCCAAAATCAATACTCAGTGTGTTTTTGTGAAGCCTCTTGAACATGTGCAGAGCTGCAAAAAAAAATGGTCTGCCTGGTTTTCCCTTTTCCAGCTACCAAACAACAGGCAGCCAAACTTGGCCTCCCCTTCCAGCCCTCACACCATGCACCTTAGCTCTGCTCCGCCCCCTCAACACTGTGTTTCTCACATGATTTTTTTTTTTTTTTTTTTTTTTTTTTTTTTGCTGAGGGAATGCTTTTATTGTTTAACTTGGACGAACTATACTGTCATGATAACACAGGGTGGTGGGAGGGGACAATGGGGAGAGAGAAAGGGGAGGGATGAACCCCCTTAAGTCTGTAAAACTGGATCGTGGAAAATAATAGTAAGAAAGCAGAACATGGCCCTCAGGTGTAGCAGTGGAATGCTGTCTTGTGTCCTGGAGTGCAAGGAGACTGCGTCTGCCTTCCAGATACAGACTCTGCTGTGTGTCAGTGTTAATGAAGTCACTGTGGATTACACAGGAATTTTAAAACAAACTTAGCAAGTTTATGTATTGAGTTATGAAAATGTTGTGTAGGAACTTGACCCTGCATTTCCTATAGGACTGATGGCTCAGTACTTGGCAGTCGGTGTTGAGATACGTTATAGAATTTTACTGCTCTAAATCACAAGATTCAACTGTATTTGAATAAATTTGTGTAGCTTTCAGAGTTCTTTTAAAATGTTTTTTTTTTTTTACAAGTTATTCTCTCTGATTGACCTGACAGATAGATGGTGCAGTAGGGCGAGTGGGGAGTGTGGATCTTATACATTTGAAACATTGTAAATTAATTATATAGAGTTGCAAATTGGCTTTTGTTCTAAGATGTTTCACTGAGTAGTGGAATGGTAAACTATTTTTCTGTTGTGTTTTCTGATCAATGGAATGCAGCCTGATGAGAATAAAGAAGACATGCATTATGATGCTGAGATTATCCTTAAAAGACAAACCCTGCTGGAAATACAGAAGTTTCTTGGAGGGGAGGAATGGAAACCAGGAGCCTTGGATGACGCCCTCAGTGATATTTTAGTTAAATTCAAGCTTCATGATTTTGAAGCCTGGAAGTGGCGATTTGAAGACTCCTTTGGAGTGGACCCATACAGTGTGTTTATGGTAAGGTGGGCTGAGGGATGTAGCTGGTCCTCTGTCCGATATCCTTTGAGCCCCACCTGAATTATGCTGGCAGCTCACCAAGTCACATATCCTGCACTTAGGTATGAGCAGTGGAGGTGTGCAAAGGCTTCCGTTTGTTTTGTATTTGGTAACAATCAGCATTTTTGGCAGGGTGGCCAGTGTGGTAGTAACTGCTTTCTGCTTCTGTGTTCCAGGTGCTTCTGTGTCTGCTCTGCCTCGTGGTGTTAGTAGCTACCGAGCTGTGGACCTACATCCGTTGGTACACCCAGTTGAAACGTGTTATTGTCATCAGTTTTTTCTTCAGTTTGGGATGGAACTGGATATATTTATATAAGGTATTGAATAGGTGGAAGCTTTTTAAACATTAAGATGTTTCACTTAATAATAAAAATGGCATAGTCCTTGGAGAGCAATCTTTTCCCACATGTGGACTAAAGATGGTAATTGGGAGTGGTGTACCTGGGGAAGAATTAAATTGGCAGTTCAGCTGTGTATGACCAGTTGGTAGGGAAAAACATGCAGTTCTAATTTATAGAACCCAGTTATCATTGGGGTAGCCTATTAGAAAGAGTTAGATGGCCATATCTAGAAAAATTCTTATAGATACAATTTGCTAAAAATGATTCCAGAATATCATTGTAAATTTAGGTTATTTTTTGAATATAAAACTGGTATGTTGAAATCCAAAAATTTAGAAAAGGCATATACATGGAAATTAATTGAAATAAATCACTTATGGATAATTACTCTCAATATTTTGTGATGTTTCTTTCTGGTTTTATTCTAACATTTTAGTTATTTACAAATTGGGCTCCTGTTTTGCATGCAAAATGGTCAGTGTTGCTACTGCTGCCGTTAGGAAAGCAGTCATTGGAGGGCAGTTTTAGACTTTCTGGCAGGAGAGTTAAGTATAAAGAATTTTCACAGACTCCATTGAAATGCCTCTCTGTGTTACTCCCTTAATCTTTTGCTTGAGTTCTGTAGCATCTTGAATTAATTACATAGCAGACACATAGGTTCTGTGTGAAGGAAGTTGGTTTGGTTGATGGCTGTTGCCTCAGTGGTCTCCTGTGGGGCTTGGATCTAGTGAAGATGTGTTACTTTTATATTGGTTGTTTGTGCTAAAAACCATCTGGAGGAAAATACCATGCAAATACAAACTAAAAATGAAAAGCAGTTATTTAGTTTTTATGCATTTTTTAAGGTGTAGTATGAACTGTATTTGAATGAATTTTTTTAAAGATTTATTTATTTGTTTGAAGAGTTCCAGAGAGGGAGAGACCGAGAATAAAATCTTCCATTTGCTGGTTTATGTCCCAAATGGCTGCAGCAGCTGGGCTGGGCTGGGCCGGGCCGGGCCGGGCCAGGCCAGAGCCACAAGCTTCTTCCAGATCTCTCATGTGGCTGCAGGGACCCAAGCACTTGAGCCATCTTTGGCTGCTTTCCCAACCACATTAGCAAAGAACTGGATTGGAAGTAGGGCAACGGGGACTTGAACTGGCACCCAGAAGGGTTACTAGTTCAGTGAGTGACAACTTTATACCTGCTATGGTACAGCTGTAGCCCATTTAATTCATATTTTTTTTAACATTTTAAAAATTCTTTTTAAAATTTTTATTGGAAGTCAGATATACAGAGAGGAGGAGAGACAGAGAAGAAGATCTTCCATCCATTGATTCACTCCCCAAGTGGCCGCCACGGTTGGAGCTGAGTCAATCTGAAGCCCAGAGACTCTTCCGTATCTCCCACATTGGTGCAGGATCCCAAGGCTTTGGACGTCCTTGACTGCCTTCCCAGGCCACAGGCAGGGGGCTGGATGGGAAACAGGTCTGCCGGGACTAGAACTGGTACCCATAGTGGATCCTGGCGCCTGCAAGGCCAGGACCCCAGCCACAAGGCTACTGTACCAGGCCCAAACTAATATTTCATAACAGTCCTCTTAGTGAAGAACTTTTCCTTCTTATTGTTAATCACAGTGAGGCAATTATAGTTCTTTGTTCTTACTGTTTGTATTAAGTCTGTGTTTTCCCATGAGCTATAGGAACAGTATGTTTTTTCTGTGTGTGGGATGTTGTTAAACAGTGAAGCAGACACTGAGCTCAGGGTTGGGGCTGTGGGGGCCTGGGTGTCCTTGGAAGCAGCAGCCTCTCACTGTTCCCCTTGGGTGTCCGGCAGCTCGCTTTTGCACAGCATCAGGCGGAAGTTGCCAAAATGGCGCCACTTGACGTCGTGTGTGCTGAGAAGATGGACTGGGCGGGCAGTCTCTGGGGTAAGCTGCTGGCTCACCAGGCCGCATTGTGAGTAGAATTTCTGTGCTGAGAGAACACATTAGTAATTCAAGAAAACAGTAAAATGCCAGAGGAGGTGTCATGACCGAGTCTATCAGAAGTATAGGCAGCTAGGTTTTTGGGTTTAAAATCAGTGACCTTTTGTATTCCCGTGGTCACAAGGAAGGAACAGAAACTGGGTATGTCAGCTGTGATACCGTCTGCCTCCAGTAGACTTCAGTGAAGGGCCTGTATTCAGTTTTGCTCAGCAGGTCCTGACATGTCTGAGTACTACACAGAAATTTATTACAGAAGGGAGTGATTATATATGAATGAATGGCCATCTTAGATTTACTCTCCTGACATGGCCTTACCTATAGCTTTACTTTTTTTTTTAACTGAAGAAAAAATTATTTTTAGTCTTTGATTTTGTAAACATTGTCACTAATGACCCCCTGTGTATTCTGCATTGGGAATGAGGTACTTCATAAATGCAACTCTGCATTGACCGGTGCAGAATAGAATCTCAGTGGACTCTGCAAGTGGGTTCCAAGATGGCTCTTCCTAGGTTGTGGGGACTAAGACATTCAGTTTTGCTTCCTGACTCTGTGGGACAGTGAAATGCCTCTTCTAGTTCAGGCTGGTTTCCAGACATACATCATTCAGAAAAACAGGCAGAACAAATATTCTACTTTGTTTTTTGATAGAATTGGTAAAGGCCTGACTTTGCTAATTGTAATTATATTGGTAATTGTAGGTCACAGGCAGCTATAAACAACAAGACAGGGACACCTGGGCTCCTGTCCACCCCCACTGATAACACCTCACACAGCTGCACGGCAGTGTCCTCACCAGGACGCCAGCTGTGATGTAATCCACCAATCACATTCTGGTTTCCCATTTCACTTGTACTTATTTACATATGCAAAAGGTGTTTTTATTTACCTTCTAAAAATCTTTATGAAATATGATGTCTGTGTAAGACTTGTATCATTTCAATGGTTTTGTTTAAACATGATTTTGGACATAAGATGAAAACTTAAAAATCACTATGAATTATTTAAATTTTAAAATAATTTAAAATTAATGGTTGATTGAGTAAGCGGAATAAGATAAAAGATCTTATTGTGACTTAAAAAAAAATTGGTTTCATTGTTTTGTCTGTTTCTCTGAGTAGAATGGTGTAGAGGTATATGGACTCTTAAGGATGACCCCTGCCAAAAATACTACGAGCTATTGTTAGTCAACCCTGTCTGGTTGGTCCCACCCACAAAGGTAACTGCTGTTTCTGTTGTGTTGCCGAAATTATCTGAATATAAAGTATGCCTGAAGTCGCGTGTGTGTGTGTATGTGTGTGTGTGTGTGTGTGTGTGTGTATATATTAGTGTTATTTTATAAGTTGTTGAACTAAAAATAAATCTTTGTTTTAGAAAAAAACCTTCAATTTCAGACATTTTCACATTAAAAGTGGTATATATTAATTAGCATTTGAATTTATGTAACAATTTCAGTTTCAGCACACAGTGAAATTTGGCTTATTCATGTACTTCAATTTTTTCAGGAAGAATTAAGTTTATTTTATCTTTCATTTCAGGCCCTGGCAGTCACATTCAGCAATTTTGTCACAGAGCCGTTAAAGCACGTTGGAAAAGCCACTGGCGAATTTATTAAAGCACTTATGAAAGAGATTCCAGTGTTACTTCAGATTCCAGTGCTGATAATTATGGCATTAGCTGTACTGGTTAGTATATTAACACTGTTGATTTATTTATTTGTTCATTTATTTAGAAGAGTTGGAGGGACAGACAGATCTTTTTTTTTTTTAAAGTTTTTATTTTTATTATTTTTTTTTATTGGAAAGGCGGATATACAGAGAAGAGAGACAGAGAGGAAGGTCTTCCATTCGATGATTCACTCCCCAAGTGAGCGCAACGGTCGATGCTATGCCAATTCGAAGCCAGGAGCCTCTTCCAGGTCTCCCACATGGGTGCAGGGTCCCAAAGCTTTGGGCCGTCCTTGACTGCTTTCCTGGGCCGCAGGCAAGGAGCTGGAAGGGAAGCGGGACTGCCGGGATTAGAACCGGCACCCATATGGGATCCTGGGCATGCAAGGCAAGGACCTTAACCACTGTGCCATCGCGCCGGGCCCGGGACAGACAGATCTTGCATCTGCAGGTTCATACCGCAGATGGCTACAGTGAAGCCAGGGGCCAGGATCTCCAACTGGGTCTCCCATATGGGTGGCAGGGGTCCACTGATACTTGCGTCATCTTCTGCTGCTTTTCTCAGGCCATGAGCCGGGGGGCTGGATCGGAAGTGGAGCAGCTATGATATGAACCAGCACCAAAATAGAATGTTGCCAGCCTCATTAGGCTTAATATCAGAGTTGGGTTGGTCTCAAGCTAAGAGTCAGGAACTTCCTCCAGGTCTCCATGTGGGTACAGGGGCCTAAGGATTTGGACCAACCTCCACTGCTTTTCCAGATCATAAGCAGGGAGCTTGATTGAAAGTGAAGCAGCAGGGACTTGAGCTGGTGCCTGTATGGGATGCTGGGGGTGGTGGCTAGAAGCTTAGCTGGCTGTGCCATCACACCGGCCCCAAGTGGATGATTTTTACATGATACATATTTTGTCTGTACTTACATATCTGTTCCCTTCAAGAAAGTAGTTCTTTAGGTGAACTGTAGATGTCATAGCTGTCACTGTAGAAACCACTTCATTTTTTTTGTTTCACTTGGTGAGTTCATGTGTGGAAAGTCAGCCTTCTCATTGCAGGCTGAGCTTTTCTGCACCATTGAGGAGGGAAGAGTGTTGGCTAATTCTGATTGAGAAAAGGGTGTGAAGCTTGGGGTCCCGGGCAGCAGCTGGGGTGCCAGGAGCAGGTGCTTAGGAAGAGGAAACATTGCTACTCATCCTTGGTCTGCGCAGCTTTTTTGCTGATTTCTGCCTGGTCACCCAGGTAAGGCAGTTGTCACATAGAACCAAAGGTGAGCATTCAGATGTGCTGTGGGAAAGTCGAAGGCTGCGGTTGAGCTGTGCTCTGTTGCTGTGAGCTGGTTCCTTTTGGGTCCTGTGTTTTGGCTTGTGATGGCAAGATTCCCTTGGTAAGATGATTGATTTTGTTGACATCAGTGTTGCAGAACAGCAGCTCAGGCGGGAGGTGGGAATCGTAAGCCAAAGCCTGGCTGCACATCGTTAGTGTGTTTCCCGCCCCTTGTCTCGGGGCTGCTGTCCTCAGCAGAGATGGACAGCTTTTGTTTTCAGGACCCGTATGTGTTCCTAAAGTTGAAGACCACAAAAGAGCTTTTGTGGAGCTTAGATACGTGGAGCAGTTAAATCTGAGAAATACAAATATTTGTGAGTACATGTGCCCTGAGCTGTTGGTGGACAGACATCAAGGATGCCGCTAGGGGCTCCGGAAAGCACAGGGAAAGAGACGGACGTGTAGAGGACTCTGGGATCTCTGCAGGCGTCCCCAGGCAGTGCTGGAGAACTGCTGCCCGGTCTTTGCAGTGGTATCTGAAGCAGAATCTGTTTTAGCTGTAACTTAGGCCAACTCTGCATTTATAGAAAATCCTGCAGAAGGATGTTCACATTGTGATGCACACATTTCTAAATTTCTAGCACTTACCTTATGTGAATGGCACAAACATAGGCACATGTGAAGAGTTATCAGATATCCAGAATCTTCTAGCTGAAATTTCTAGGCTTTACCTTGTTATTGCTGTGAAGTTCAGCCTCTAGGCTACTGCCCAATTGCTGTGGTTGAAAGTCAGTCAAAATGTCTGGCATGTCTACTTAATCCTGAGTGGTTTATTAAATTTTAGTGGCTACTCTAGCCCTATCTTAACCTGAAGAAGAGATTTCTAGTGAAAAAAATAGCGAAATTAAAAGTCTGTAAATAGGGGTTGGTGTGGTAGCCTAGTGGCTAAAATCCTCACTTTCATGCACCGGGGGGGATCCCATATGGGTGCCAGTTCTAATCCCAGCAGCCCACTTCCCATCCAGCTCCCTGCTTGTGGCCTGGGAAAGCAGTCGAGGACGGCCCAAAGCCTTGGAACTCAGCACCTGTGTGGGAGACCTGAAAGAGGTACTTCTGGCTGTGGCTTCGGATCAGCTCAGCTCTAGCCATATGGCTACTTGGGGAGTGAATCATGGGATGGAAGAGCTTTCTCTCTGTCTTTCCTCCTCCTCTCTATATCTGACTTCCCAGTCAATTCTGAATGGAACACCTTGTAATGTCAAGGTAAGTTAGAAATCGTCAGCAGAATGTGTCTTTGCCTTACAGAGTTTCTGCTATGGCGCTGGCAGGTCCGTGTATGTGCTGAGACATCTGGGTGGTCCTGAGACCGACCCTCCCCAGGCGCTTCAAGCAGGACAGAGAAGACCGTGGCAGATCGATTATAGACCCCGTGGTGGAGCAGGTGATGCAGGTTTCTATGATTGGGGCCCGACTGGCCGCCTTGAGCATGACCCATATGACAGGACATGTGAGGGTAGAAGAGACGTTCTGAGAGAGAGAGATGCTGCTTTGAGATTTCAGCCTGGCAACAGGAGCCCCGAAGTGCTCCGGGCGTTTGACTTTCCAGATGCAGAGGCACAAGAGCACCCAAAGGTGGGACCCCGTGTAAGTTTGCAACTGTTTGTTTTGCTCCCCCCTTTATTTCAGGCCTGTTTCACTTATTATGTCATGAATGATATAATGAATGACTTTCTCTTCCCCTTTCTGGTCAAAAGCTAGCACCTTTTGTCTAGAAGAAATGAGATTTCATTTTGCTAAGTGCTGGTTACTTGTTAAAACAGATGGTAATTCATAGGAACCTTCCCAGGGAGCCGAGGGTGAGTGACTGAATGTCTGCCTTTGAGCACCTCCGAGAGCAGCCTTACTGCAGGCCGGGCGCTTGGGCGCCAGGGAGTGGCAGGAGAGCTCTGAGCTTTGCTGGTCGGGAGTGGCTGGGGAGGGAGCCGAACACCCACTTTCCAGCTCCTTAGAGTCCTTGGCTGTGAGGCTGCACTGCTATTAGCAGAGAGCCATATCAGAAGCAGAGCAGTGGGGACTCGAACTGCCACCGATATGGGATGCCACTGCTGCAGGCAGCAGCTTAATATGCCACCAGCCCCATCTCTGAACCCAGAGAAAGAATCACAAGCATGACAGAATGCAGGGAGCTATAGTGCGTCTTCAGTTAGTATTCCTTTACCAACAGAAAGCTCTCTCCAAGTATTTAGAAGATCTGAAGATGTTCCTTTCAGCTTTTATGGTTAATTATTACCCATCTCTCATCTTTTAAAAAAGATTTTATTATTATTATTTTGTATTTGGAAAAGTTACACAGAAAAGGAGAAAGATCTCCCGTCCCTCCCCAAATGGCTATAGTGGCCAGAGCTGAGCTGGTCTGAAGCCAGGAGCCTCTAGATCACCCACATGGATGCAGGGTCCCAGGAACTTGAACCATCCTTTGCTGCTTTCTCAGGCACTTTAGTAGGAAGCTGGATTGAAAGTGGAACAGCCAGTGCACGAACTGGTGCCCATTTCAGGTGCTGCCACTGCTGGCAGTTTAGCCTATAGCACAATGCCAGCCCCATCACTCATCTTAAAACTCCTTCACTGACTCCCATCTCACTCAGAGCGAAAGCCATTAACAGCAGTGGCCTAGGGGCCCTTTGATGTGCTCTAATTCCACATCTAACAGCTCCCCGGCGCCTCCTGCACCTCCACAAGGCTCCTGACTGCTCAGGCTAGAATGCTGCTTCTGCACACAGCGTGAGGTTCCCGTCAGGCCTTCACTCCTGTCACCTCTTCTGATCGCCTGCTCTAAGTGCAGTCTTGACCTGTGACCCCGCCCCACTGCTGGAACCCTTTTCTGCTTTTTCTTCCGAGCCCTTAATTCAGTAGATGATATTAGACCTTTTGAATTAATTTGCTGTCTGATTCTCCCTAACCTCAGTTCCAGAGAAACGTTTCTTCTTTCTCTCTTGGTCTTGCCCTGGCGCTCTCTCACACACTGTCTCTCTCGTTTCATTCTCTCTCCTCTGTCTGTTCCTCCTGCTCTCGCTCTTGCTCTTTTGCTCTCTGTTGTGCCCTTTCTGTTCCTTTTCTCTCTCGCTCTTTTTCGCTCTCGCTCTCTCTTTTCTCTCGCTCTGTCATTCCCTCACTCTTTCGCTGTCTCTTTCCTCCATTTCTTTTTCTCTCTCGCACTCCCGCTCTTGCTCTCATGCGCTTTTTCTGTTTCTCCCTTTCTTTTTCTCGCTCTTTTGCTCTTTTTCTGTCTCTTTTTCTTTCTCCCTTTTTCTTGAGCTTTCTTTGTTTTTCTCTTGCTGTCTCCCTCTGTTGCTCTTTCTCTCTCCTTCCCTCCCCTTTTATCTCCCTCTTTCACTTACTCTCCCCCTTTCTCGCTCTCACTCTCCTGCTCGCTCTTTCTATTCCTTTCTCTCCAGTTCTTTCGCTCTCGCTTGCTCACTGTTTCTTTTTCTCTCATGCCCTGTCTCGCTCTTCCTCTTTCACTCTTCTCTCTCTTGCTCTTTCTCTTGCTTGTTTTATTCCTTTCTCTTTTGTTTCTCTGTCTTCCTCTTTTCTCTCTGTCTCACTTTCTCTTTTTTCTCTTTCTCTCTCCCTGCCTTTCTCCTTTTCCGTTTCTTTCCCTCCTTTCCTTCCTTCTCGGAAAGGCGGGTATACAGAGACAAGGAGAGACCGAGAGAACCACCATCTGTGTCACTCCCCAGGCGGTCCCAATGGCCAGAACTGAGCCAATCCTAACCCAGGAGCTTCTTCCAGGTCTCTCCTGTGGGTGCAGGGTTCCAAGGCTTTGGGCCATTCCTCAACTGCTTTCCCATGCCAGAGGCAGGGAGCTGGATGGGAAGTGGAGCAACTGGAACAGGATCCCAGCACATACAAGGCAAGGAATTTAGCCACTAGGCTATTGCACTTGGCCCAGAAATGAACTAACTTACTCACTCTCTTCCTCTCTTTCTTTCATTTTTTTCATCCTTTTTCTTTTTTTCTTTCTCTCTCATTTGTTTTTATTGAAAAGCAGATATACAGAAAGGAGAAGCAGCAGAGAGGAAGATCCTCCATCTGTTGATTCACTCCCCAAGTGGACGAAATAGCTGGCACTGAGCCGATCCAAAGCCAGGAGCCAGGAGCCTCATTTGGGTGTCCCACGTGGGTGCAAAAATCCAAGGCCTTGGGTCATCCTCAACTGGTTTCATTCACTGATTCACTAAACAAATGGCTGCAATGGTGGCTCTAAAGCCAGGAGTTTCTTCTGGGTCTCCCACATGGGTACAGGGACTCAGGGACTTGAGCCATCTTCTGCTGCTTCTCAGGCCATTGGTAGGGAGTTGGATCAGAAGTAGAGCACCCAGGACTTAAACCAGCACCAATATGGAATACCAACACTACAGGTGCAGGCTTAGCCTGATATGCCACTGTGCTGGTCCTGAGAGCAATTTTTGTGTGTTGTTCTTGCTGTACCCTTAGTGCTAGAACATACTATTATGTACTCCATAAAGAGGTTTTGAATGGTGCCTGGCATGGTAGCAAGTGGTTAAAGTTCTTGCCTTGCATGTGCCAAGATCCCATATGAGCGCTGGTTCTAATTCCCAGCTGCTCCACTTCCCATCCAGCTCCCTGCCTGTGGCCTGGGAAAGCAGTTGAGGACGGCTCAAAGCCTTGGGACCCTGTACTCATGTGGGAGACCCGGGAGAAGCTCCAGGCTCCTGGCTTCAGATCGGCTCAGCTCCAGCTGTTGCGGCCACTTGGGGAATGAGTCAGGGGATGGAAGATCTTCTCTCTCTCCTTCTCCTCTCTATATCTGACTTTCCAATAAAAATAAATAAATCTTCGTTTTTGAATGAACTACTCTTACCAGGCAGGAGGCATGGGCAGTATTGGTCCCCAGTGGTATGGAGCCCGTAAGTGTTGTGTTCCCTCATGTGCACACCTGTGAGCTTTAACACTTAGGTCATCATTATTTAGCACTGGAATGAGATTTCAGTTTGGAGTTTGTTTCAGCAGATTTGGGTGGCAACTTGTTAGGTATGTTTGATTACTAAACCTTCACATAATATAACAGAGTAGTTAAAATTTAATTTTATACTTTATAGCCTAATTCATCTATTTTGGACGCAAAGCCTAAAGAGACTGGTGGAATCCCAGGAGATGGGACAGCAGCAGAAAGCAGTGTGGAAAGCAGCGAGTCTGCTGGGGCTGCCGCTGGGGCCGCGGGCGCTGCACTTGCAGGGGAGAAGGCTCAGCTCAAGCCTGAAGCTGAAGGCGGCCCTGGGGAAGGCATTGGAGAAGGTGCGGTTGGTCCTGCAGCTGGAACACGTGGCATGGAGGATGCCAGCAACCCGTGTGGCTAGGAGGGCACTGGTGTGGGCAGCAGCTCGGAAGACTTCTCTGGGCTCTGTATTCTCTCAGCAACTCTACTCTCTGAGTACTGTTATTTACTGTTATGGTGTCAACTATATACTCTGACAATCAATTCCCAAACACATGTATGTATGTAAAAACCTCTATTCATCTCTTGATGTGCAGATACAGCCGTTAAGATTCTCATGTGTTTGTTTTGGGATAGGCACTCAGAGTTGACATTTAATGATGAACACATATAGTAGGCGTCACCATCGCTGATTCTGGATACTGGAGGTGACTAGTTTGAGGAAGCATTAGAAAGAAATTGTGTTGTTTACAGGCATTTATAGGAAACAGCTAACCCAAGTGTGTGTTGTCCTGAGTAGTCAGGGAGACCTGCTGTAATTAGATTCAAAGGTCTCCAGTATGAGAGACAAAAACCATCCCTCTAGGGCACCTGCTTCGGCCGACCTTCTTCATGTGTGCCCCATGTCAGTCCTGCTGCCCTCCGCCGCCCTCACCGCCTCACCAGTGTGCCTTTGTAGTGTCCTGTCTCTGCAGCCATTATGGAGCCACCTGTCTTGTTCCTTTTACTGTAGGCCTAGCCAGGACAGAATTGAAGAGAAGCAGATACTGGAGCCTGCCGTAATAGAAACCAAAGTTTTACATACTCTGAAGACCAAGATTGGCTTGACAGGCTGCCTGCCTTATTCCTGACGACCTAGCACGGGAGGCCCTTGGGGCTCACAGTGTTTTAGTTTTGTCATCAGAACTGGCCCGTGTGGAGCTCTGATTTAAGAGAGCGAGGCATGGAGAAGAGCAGGGTGGCCTCTCACTGCAGGTGGGCCATGCAGCAGCATTTCTAATTCAATTTTCTGGATTCAAAAAGTCCTGCTCTTGAAACTTTTTAAAAAGCAATTTACAATTTTTGTATGTGTTGCTAGTTGGTAGATTTCACCCATAATCAAGTGTCCTCTGCTTTAAGCAAGTTCAGAGCAGATGTTATGTTAATTACTGAAAGTGATACCAGTCAGGAGTTAAACCTTAAAATTTCTATTCAGGCATTTGTTTTAGGAAACAAATTATTTGCTTTTTTTGTTGTTGTTGTTTTAACATGAAAATACAGAATGTTCCTTTTGGCCCCCCAAAGTGTTATGTGTCTGTGATGATTTAATGTTAACATTATTTTCTTGTTTAATAGTGCAAATTTCTTTATTTTCATCAGACCAGTAATTATTTTTTCCAAGAGATATAAATGTATTTTAAGATTCACAGCACGGTAGGTTTACAACAATTGATATATGAATAAATGAATGATGAGTGAATGACTGAAGAATGAATGCAAGGATGCCAGCAGTTGAAATGTGAGCCTGCTGACCGTGCCAAGCTGACCTGCCCGGGCAGTTTGCAGTACCGGCCTGTGTTTCCAGAGCGGGAGCTGCGCCTGGCGAGGAGTGCCTCGGGCTGCACTGTACCTGCGAGAGGGGCGCCTGCAGCCTGCACTGACACTGCTCTTAGTGGATCCAAACAGAATCACTGGGGCTGAAAAGCACTGCGACGGCTGGCAAAACAACAGGCTGTTGCCCTGGCACACACAGCTGTTCAGGGAAGACCTCCTTAGAGCAAAACGAACCTAGCAAGGCCAGCTGAAGGTTTGTGGAATAGCCAACCCTTGTCTTCAAATAAGGATTACAATAACAAAATTACAATGGAGAGAACAGTTGTTTGGAGCAGTTTCAAACTAGAAATAATGTTGAATGTCTTCAAGGTGTAATAACCATTGTATACACCAAATAAACACATTTTTACATTACTGTGTTTTGGTATGTTGTCTGCTTAATGACTTATAAGAAAAAGTCCCATGGAAGTTATCTGTGCTGCTTTTAAATGATGCTAACCAGGACAACATAACTAGATACATAATCATGTGAAATATTGGGGAATCCAAGTTTTAACTTAGCACCTTTGATAAACCTTTAAAAGATCTGAAATGTATAGAGATAAGGAGAGACAGATCTCCATGTGATGGTTCACTCCGCAATCACAGCTGAGCCCATCCAAATCCAGGAGCCTCTTCTGGATTTCCCACATGCGTGTATAGATGGGGTGGTAGATAGATGGGGTGTGGAGCAGCTGGGACATGAACTGGCACCATATGGGATCCTGATGCCACAGGGAGAAGAGTAAGCATATTAATGCCACCATGGCAGCCCCCTTTGACAAGGGGGTGCAACGGCTGATGCTATGCCAATCCAAACCAAAGCCAGGAGCCTCTTCCGGGTCTCCCACGCGGGTGCAGGTTCCCAATGGGCCGTCCTCGACTGCTTTCCCAGGCCACAGGCAGGGAGCTGGATGGGAAGCGGGGCTGCCGGGATTAGAACCGGCGCCCCTGGCTTGCAAGGCGAGGACCTTAACCGCTGCACCACAGCGCCGGGCCCTAGCAGAGCTGTTTTACCATTTACTCATCAGAACTACCTGAATGGTCTTTCAGTTATTGAGCCCTAGCTCCTGAGATCCTGGCCCTGCTGTGCACAATCAGAAGTGATTGGACTCGAATGAGCTGCCAGCTATTCTTAAAGGAGTGGCATCTGTATTCCATAATCAACAGGTGTTGCCCAATCTCATTTCCCTCTTAGCTGTTCTTTGTGGTCACCTGTTCTGTACCTTGGACATGGCCTTCAGTCTCTTGGGTAAGAAAGGAGAGGTTTAATGGCAGCCAAGTCTAAAAGAAATCTTTCTTGCTCTTATTCATGAGTTTTCAGTTTATGTGGCTGGTTCCCAAAAAAGCGACAAGGGTCTGGTGTGTTTTTCTTGTTAATGTTCATCTGCTTGTGAGACAGAGATCTTCTATCTGCTAATTCACTCCCCAAATGCCCACAATCCCTAAGGTAACAACAGGTGGAAGCCAACAGCTGTAGGACTCCATCCGGGCCTTGCATCACCCGCCTCCTGGGATGCATGTGCGGGAGCTGCTCAGAAACAGAGTAGGCGGACATGACCTCATTGTGACCTGGGGTCTGGGTCTTCTGAGGGTTGGTCTAACCTGCTGCGCCTTCCAACCTTGGTTGTTTTAATTTAGCATTAGCGCTTAGAAAAATATATTTTATAGCAGTATTATGCAACATAAGAGACAGCGTTCCCAAAACATGCTGAAAGAAATTTATTTCTTGAGTTTTTTACACTGGCTTTGCCCTAAAAATATACTGAAAATAGATTTTCTTAGAGAAATCTAGTTTTTTTCTAATAAGACTATTTTACATAGCTTTTTTACATTAGTCAAATACATTATTTTTACTAGACAGCACAGATCCTCACTATATCCATGGTTAAATATAAAAGAAAATGCCATCAAGATTAAAAAAAAACTCAGCACAGGATTAAAATCTACTCCAGGAGTCATTTAAATTGTCCTTTAAGAACTAGAGAGTGATTCAGCCTACAGAACAACCCCCAAAATGACGCTAGCTGCCGCCGAGGCCCACAGACCCTCCACCTGAAGCCGGAGTGCTGAAGAAGGTCCTTCACCCGCCACGGAAGGAAGTCCTGACGTCCTAAACGCTCCTACAGCGCTCACGGCTCCTGTTCAGTGTTCTGGAAGGAAACAAGGTCTTTTTAAAGGATACCCACACTACTCGGTGGTTTGCCGATTATTTTTCTGTATTTTAAAATTCTAACAGAGCATTGTTAACTTTGCAAAAGGTCCTTTAGTCCAAATCCAGCGTCTCTGTTTTGATCTCTTTGTAAAAGAACTCTCTGTTCATCCATTCTTTTTGCCTGCGACCGTAAAATAAGGCTGAAAAAGTCTTCGTCTGGTACTGTGGGGCCCTTTGTGGCAGCAGGTGGTGGGGCACATCTTTGGTCATCTAATCTGGACCCCTAAAATGCATAAGAAAGAGGGAAGCACGTTATTACATCGTCAACCGTAACAAGAAAATGTAACTGAACCTTTTTGCCTCACCTGGCAGTTCACTATCTAAAGTGACTCCGTATATGCATACATATAATCAGAATATAAGGAATTATATAAAATTCTAGGTATGTAATTATTATGTAAAAATTCAGTAGGTGAATTTCTTTATATTGTCACATGAATAATCTGGGATTAATGAAAGTGCAAAGCTAACTATAAATTTGACAGTTGAAGATCCTTTTACCAATAATATATACCAACAATATAACTAATCCATTCTTTAGAAATACAATGCTGTGTACAAAAACCCCCATCTTGGGCTGGCGGACTCAGCCTGTAACCCCAGCGCTTAATTTTGTAGACAGTTGTGTTTTTGGTCATTGCTGAAGCATCTGTCAGGCACTGCCTCAGGCTGCTCTCCATGACAGCTGAACATCCGGCTTGTGGATACTAACAGAGCTGGAATGGGTGTTGGCTGGTTGTGCAAGGCTGCAGCTCCTGCCAGGACAGAGGGTAGGCCAAGTCGGGGCCAAGTACCCACCAGTGTGTGTGAGAATCTGCCACTGGGAGGAGACCTGATAGAGGATCTTGGGAAACTCCTGTCAGGACACAGTCCCTGAAGTTGAGTGCAAGAATCAAGGCTGAAAGTAGCCCAGACCAGGCCAGGTTATAGTACCTGCCAACATACGTGTGGGTCAGGTCTGGGGCAAGTCAGGCTGGGCCATTTCATAGCACCCATTGACAGACATGAGAACCAGGATGGGGTACAGGACAGGACAGGTTGGACCACAACACCAGCCAGTATACATTAGGGCCGGAACTGGGGACAGCCCAGGCTGGGATAGGCTGTAGCACCCACCAGCATGAGTTGGAACTGGGGGCAGGCTGGGTTGAGCCAGGCTTCAGCACCCACCAGCACATATAAGATCTGGTGGTGGTGGTGGTGTGTGCACACACGCGAAGATTTTTCTTGGGCCACTGCTCCCAGAGATGAGCGTGAGCACTGGGACTGGGGCAGACGAGGCCAGGCAAGGCTACAATACCCTTTGGCTTGCATATGAACTGGGTTGGGGGAGAGCCAGGCTGGACTGACTGACTATATTCATTGGTACATGCATGAGCCACAGTAAGTACAGGCTGGTTGGGCTTTGCCACAACATCAGCTGACAGATGCTAGGAATAGGGGCAAGTCTTGTTGGGCTAGACTGCAGAACCACCTAGAAAGTGCAAGATGCAGGGCTGGAAGTGAGCCTAGAAGGGAAACTGGGCACCGCTCTGATGGGCTACAATTCCCAATGGTAAGCATGAGAACCAGGGCTGTGCCTGTAGTGTAGGCTGGATAGTGAGGTCAGTTGGGCTGAGCTAGGCTGCAGCAGCCATTGGTGTATAAGCTGAAAGGGACGTGGGACAGATCAGATTAGTTTCCTGCACATACTATCATGTGCAGGAACTATGGCTGGGGCGGTCTTGGTGGGAGTTATTACGGATCACTTTGAGCTGCAGTTCACACTGCTGTGCCCGAGAGCTGAGTGTGTGGTGGGCAGGGTTAGGCTGGGCCATAGCATTCATGGATTTGCCTAAAACACGGGGCTTTAGACAAACTGACCGGGCAAATGCAACCACGTGTGTGTGTAGGCTGATGTGGGTGATGGACTGAACCAGATCCTATACTCGCAAGTCACCTCAGACAAGGTTTCTTTGGGGATCCCCCCAACTGAACCACTCAAAACTCCAACCACAAGGAAAATTGCAGGATCTGTGGTATGACCATAAGGTGCATGAGTTAGAACTGGGCTTCCTCATTTGCTGGAGCCTGGGCAGTGGATGGCATGCCCTGATGCACATGGGGGACATGGCATGTCATTGAGGCCTACAGAGGACATCTAGTATCACTGACAGCACTGACAGCAAGTACCTGGACGGATGGAGACTGTAAAGTGGACTATGTCAGCCAATGGACTTTTGGAGGATTTCCTCAACCTTAGAGCAACGAAATCAACAGAATTTCAGAACTATCAAAACCACTTGAGCAGTACTTTCAGAGCATGCTCCACATCGAGGACCCTGGGATGACATTAGGTAGTCGCCCCAAATCCCCAGGTACTTATGTGGTTAGGATGCTGGGTGTGGCTTCTCTCTCCCTTTCCCCCACTCCCCCAGATACAAGAAGAAAAAGAAAATGGGAAACAACGGTCTTATCCACTTTCCTCTGCCCTTCCCACCCTGACCCTGATTATTGGTCCACATGGCATGCATCCTCAACTATGTAAACATCAAAAACAGAATTTTAAAAATTAAAAAAAAAAAAAGCGTATGAAAGACTCCCTACCAAAAAGAAAAGTACATTAGACATGCATTGATCAAATTAGAAAAACAAAAGGACTCAGAAGCCTACAGCGTCTGCTGGCGAAGCTCAGGGATGAGAGTGGTCATGTGACAACACGTAAGGCACGGGCCAAGTACTCCTGCACACTAACTGATCTCCGTTCTAGCCTCCTGGTCTCAGCCCCCCCACCTCCCATACCCAGCCTCCCTCAGTTCTGCCCTAACACTGGTGACAGCCATGTCCTCCCGGCATCCAGCGCTGCAGCTCTTCAGTTCTCAGGCCTCTGGCCAGTGTGCTCATTCCTCTTTCTTAACCATTTGTTCTCCATGGTCACTGCCGGGCTCTCATTAGCCTCTTTAGGGAAATGTCTGATTTTATTCTTTGTCCATTCTTAAATCAGGCTGATTTCTAGTTTTAGTAGCCCCTATACTCTGCATATTAATTTCCTACCAGATCCAGAATTCCCAAATATTTTCTGTGGGTTGCTGTTTTACTCTGTTAATTGTATCCTTTACTGTTATTGACACACACGTTTTTTTATTTCAGTAAGTATTTGTTTCCTGTGCCTTTGGTTTA